CACTATTCACTATTCTAAATGCACCTAAGTTAGCATGGTGTTTTTCCGGATGCAATCTCCATGATGGAAACCTACTCAGATAGCTTAAGAGTTTGTCCGACTGGAATTTGAAAGAAGGCCAAGCCGGAGGCCTCAGGACCGCTCCAATCAAGTCAATGTCTTCTAGGGCAAAGATCACTTTGTCTTATCTAAGTGAAAACAGACTTTCAACTGTCCAGACAAAGCTCTCAAAGGAGGTTTCATTTTTTGATAAAATCGCATGGAAGGACTTTCTTCCATGTAGCAGAAGATTTTATATAATAAGATTTTAATTGAATTGCCTTTGTGTATGTATTTACATTTTAAAATGTTAAATTACGAATACAAATAGTACGCATTTTAATATGCAGTATATATTTGACTAAACGTATAAGAGATGATATTAGTCCTCTAAACGTTGAACAAAAATAGTTTCTTCAGTGCTCGACAATATCATATCTTTGGTTTAGTTTATTTGCTTTTATTTTGTTATTCATGTTTTTATAAAACCAAAAACCAAAAAATATTTTGTCTTAGCTTAATTCGCATCTTATATATTCATAGTGCATCACATTTATAGTCTTCAGTGACTCAATTCCATTTATAGCCGATTTTGTTTCATTGAGTGCAGAGCCGGCCCTAAGGTTATAAAGGCCGCAAGCCAAAAAAAATGAAGAAATACACGAGATAGACTCGAATTCATCACCAGGAAGACATAATCAAACAAGTTTACCACTAGGCTACTGAAGACTTTTACTAAAATGCAGCCGATAAATATATAATTATAACAGGGCCACAAGCCCATGGTTGTCCTGCTTATGCCCAAGGCCCGCCCTGATTGGGTGTGAACTTTTGGTGGCCTCGATCCAATGATGCTCTGATGGCTGGTGTCAGGGTGCTTACATCAATTCCATGTGAGAGCTAACTCAAAAATATATCATGCATGGATTCATAATAAATGTATTGATTTTTACAATAAATGGTTTTCAAAAACTTTTAACCAATAATATTTCAATTTTTTTTAAAACTAATTCCAAGTAGCCGGGACTGGGACGCCAACACGTTCCAGGTTCAATCCACCTTCTACGTGAAACTAAGTCACATTATCATGGACATCCACATGGATATGGGCCCTTGCTTTCGGCTCATTTGCATATCCAGAGAGAGGGTCTATCCATGGACTGCACATCCTCTAGGGATTAGTCAGAGCCATTTAGCTTAAGATTTACCCTGAGTTATAAAAAAAAAAATAACTCCACATACATAATGAAACAACCCAACCTGTTTTTTTTTTATATATAAATTAGCACCGAATTAGCATCCCCATAAATGCTAACCCTCAACATGCTAAAATTCTCAAAACAGCAAACATTCAGCGGAAATCAATTATGCAAATAAACCATTA